TGATGTTTACAGAAGTATAACTTTGTATTCTGTTTCCAAGTAAATTAAATATTAATTGAGTTTTCATCTTTCCTCAGGTCCATTAATAGTTATGGAAAGAAGCAGCTAGCAAGACAGGGAAGAGCACCCCTACTGTAGTATTTGACACTCAGGTTAACACATCCCAACTTCTTTGAGATCTCATTTTTAGTGTTTAACCATCACACCTCCTTTCCAGGCCTCTTTCTGTTCATCCACAATATAAAATTCTTATCAGAGTAATCAGATCTTTACCATGTTAATATTTTTAAGTGCTTACACATTCTTAGATTATTGGCACTAAATAAATTAAAATTGCTGCATACAACTTGCAGACTCCTTACTTAACAAGTCTCATGAGATAGTTTATTAGCAAATAAATTCTCTGTGAGAAAATGAGAACATTGCCCACATATTAGTGCATAAATTCAATATTTTAAGAACTCCATTCATAGAATCATCTCTTTCTTGGAAAAATTGGCACTAGAAATTGCTTAGCAGTAGTCTCTATTATTGTTATTTGCACTAGAACCCATATCTACTGCATTATTAGTACTAATGCATTAATAAATCAGGATGTATTTTTATATTAGTAAGATACAGTAGATGACTACTGTATGATTGTCAGAAAAAATTATAATGTGCACACCAAGTCATACATTACAGATGTTGGATGATGTTACAATATAACATCATATCACATTAAATACAGTCCAGAAAATGAATTAAAATAAAAAGATCACAATACCCTGTAGAAACACCACTTTCCCAAAGTCTGTCATATACACTACAATGATTTTTTATTTTCAAGTACAATTTAAGAGACAGAATTCTACAATCTGTTTTAAAATACTTAAAAGACAGATATGAACGATGCTCACAAAAAAGCTTTGGAACCACCAATGCCTTTCAAGGCAAACAGTAAAGCTGAATGGTCTATTGGTTGTTTTCAATCAAAATGTATTGTTCTTATCCCATATAGGAACTACAATTTAATATATGTCACAGCTCACTCTTTCCAATGAATCAGTGGTAGGAATCCTAAAAAATGCTGGCCACTGTCTTCTCAAATTTGATATTAGTGCACTATTGCTAATCTCAAAACAGGCAACTGATTCACCTTGAAACATACTTTTTAATCTACACTATGTAAAACATTGATATCTGTCCCTAGTTTTGGAGCATTTTAATGTAATCAGTTTCCAAACTAAAGATTATTTTCACACTTAAACACACACAAAAAAAAATTAGACCAAAAAAATTACAAGAAAATAAAAATACTTCAGTCTGGAACACAATACATAATATTACATAATCCACAGGCACACATATGCAGAATGCATAAGGTCTCAGATTTTAATAGTAAATATTCTGTCATTTATCATTTGCCTCATTCTTGATATCACTCAGTTTTCAGAATCTTTCTTGTGGTATGAAACCAATTTTTGTTTTTCACTAGAATCAGTAAGGAAGTAAAGGAAGAAAGAGGCAATTCGGGAAAACCAACCCTGTGCATTTACCATTATATTAAATGGACTACAGCAAATTTAGAAAAATTCTAAGCAGTCAAATAAATACTAAGGGAAGCTCAAATATAAACATTCAAGAAAAATTGAAGTTGTTATATACTCTAAAAAGCACCTGGTTCTTCAATTACAAACTGCTTGTATGTAGTCAAAATTCACAATAACAAAAAAAAGGAATGAAAAGGTAAGGAGAGAACAGCAAGGACAACATCTTGGGCTCCTCATCCAAGTGTTTTTCCTCTGCTGATAAAACTGAAAGGAACACACATTTCATTAAGCATTTCAACGTATAAGTCAGTTACTCTAAGACACCTTTGGGGTCACATTTTGTGACCCATTCAGTATAATCTACTGCTACAGTCTAAGATGACATTTAAGGTCCCTTCCATACCAAACGATTCTATGATTCTATGAACTGAGAAGAAAGCACAGAACAAGAGCAAAACAATTCAGCTGGAGCACTGCCTCATGTGGATCATAACTAAGTGAAGAATTTTACTGCTTTTCTTTCTGTAATGCTGCAAGGGCTGATGTAAAACTGAATTTAGAATCTGAAAGTTCTAAGGTTCTCACTGCTGGCCCTTTGCCAAAAAACTCAGCCCATTTTCATTAACATATTTTGAATCATCCTTCACCAGTTTCATCATATAATTCTTACAGAGGCAGTGTTCACATACAAATCTGGTTATTTACTGTAGTGAAGCTCAGAAACATAAAATCCTACCCTTGGTCCCCACCCAGGCAACCTCTGCTATAAAATACTGTCTATTCCAAGCTCTGAAGTTTTTTGTACAACGTGTATGCACTAGTAAATAACAATAAAATATGCAGTTCCTTTTAGCAACAGGAGTACTCTTCTACAATCTCAATTCTTTTTTAGAATGATTTGATAAATCTGTTAGTGCCAATGAGAATTCTGGTTGTGAAAGAACAGCAACATCAGGGACTAGTCAGGAATACGGAAAAAGCAGAGTACTGTGACTAATATAGTTAATGCCTCTTTACACAAGATTACAGAGTCACATTCTCAAATCCTGAGGGGAATTTGGCTTAGTAGTTCACCCTCTCTGATACTTTTAAAGAACAGAATGTAAAGTGCTAAAAATATTTTTTTGGCAAGAAAATTATCTAAGACACTCTTAGGGGTAAAATAATTTCACAGTAGGTGGGTCCAGGCACAGGAAACAGTTTGGAAGGTAATGAAGAAACTGGAGTTGTGATTAACAGACAAAATAATATTATGGAGTCACATTCTCCATTCCTCAAAAGAAACGTGATCAATAACAAAATTTTTCCATGAAGTGTCTCAAAATATCTACTTAATATATTTCCTTTGACTAGTAAATTACTTTGTAAAGTGGTATTATAAACAACAGACATGTAATGAAAGAATGGTTAGAATGTAGAGTCCCATTGGATTTTTTTAATTATCATACAATATATCAGAAGCCATGGGTTTGTTTTAGGTGTTGTTTAGGTAAACATGCATGTTTGTTTAGGTAAACATGCAAAAAAACCAGCATGTAAGATTAGTATTTAGTTAAATATCTTTAAAAGTACAATTTGACTTACATTGCTAATTCCTCTACTCAAAAGTTTGTGTTCTCAAACTGTAAAGGAGCACGTGGAATTTAATGATTGATTTTTAAAGATAATATCAATGAAAAATGGGTATCCTGTCCTGAAGAGAACAGGAAGTGACATAATTACTCAGAAAAAATTAAGAATTAATGTTATTTTAGATTATTATACCAACACTACAGCACTATTTGGTTTAGGCAAAATGTTTCTTATTCTTAAAGCACTTAGTCCTTTCACACTCCATTACCAGCAATTTTTGTAGCACTGTTTCCCAGGAGAGACCTGCTGAAATACAGAAATAGGCACTCCCTGGAAAAGCTGTGTGACTCCTCTGTCTGGTAGCACTTTTGTTACACAATATGTTGACCAAAACATTTAGAACTCTTGCTTAATTTAGAAATTTGTTTTTATCTCATATCAGTTTCATTTGTTAACTTATTCAAATATAGAAATATGATCTCCCATCACAAACCAATATGTTGATGACTTCAGTACCATATTCTTCATTCACTCTTGCACTCAGCAACTTCTTCAGAGAAAGGCAGTAAAAAGTATGTACCTAGAAATGGTGCCATTTTCAAGCTGAAGAAACAGCTCCCCTCTTACATCGAAAGGTTCTCAGTTTAAAACATAAGGCATTAAATTTAATAGCAAATGGCTCCCAGAACCAGATAATGAATGATTTTCACAGTGGTGAGTACTTATTCTCTTATGGTCCCAGCTCAACAAATAGGACAACTAATTTTGTAAGAGGCCATATTCTGGCCTTCTGTTCTACTTGGTAAGAAATGAGTAGTTATATTATTTCACACTTCTGAGAGTATGTAATATTATTAAAAAATGAGAAGGATATAGCTTATTTTTCAGCATTCCCAGTCAACTTCTCTTTTCCTCATGTAAGATTTAAAATCTCTATCAGTATGAACCTACTTGTAGCCTAGGTCTCCACTGAATCCCAGGAGGAGCTACACCTTTCACAAGCCAGATTCTGATTTATACCACACCTAAAGACAGTTGTTTGAAAGTCTGCAAAGTAAAAAATAATGCAATATTTTTTCCTCACAAATCCCACAAAGCTGTACATTGAAAACAATTTAATTTTCAAAAACTATAGCTCACAAATTGATACAAAAATTTTACCATCATATAAAGTACTTAGTACTAAAATAGCTTTTTTTAGTAAACACATTTTTTTCTGACTTCACATTATGGAAAATCACAAAGCTCTTTTATTCTAGAAAGATTAAGCAGTTGGTGCGGAACCTGACTGGAAAAAAGATTCTACTCTCTGTAGTTCTATAGTATAAAAAGTACTTTACATCTACACTTCATTGTACTTTAGGTTCTTATACAGCCTATTCAAATCAAATAAATTCTCAGCACATGCTTATATGATCTGTGTATTCAATTTATATTAAAAAGTAATTCTTAATATTTTCCAGATATTTTGCTTGGGCAGCAATACACATTGGAGTGAGCTGATACTTAATAAGTTTTGCATCAAATCTAAATTACAGCAACTGAAATCAATGAAGACAGATTTTCAGATTTGCTGTCATAGCTCTGCCACATGCAGTTGGTCTGCTTTCTCTAACTTGATATCTCAGGGCCCTTTGTTTAAGACTGATTGCTTCCAGATGTATGGGATAGTACTGGTGGAGAGAAAGAGAAGGTATACTTCAACACTGGTGTAATTGAAATTGAAATGAAAAATACACTCTGCAAATCAAAGTCAACCCCTTCGATGTATTTATTTATCCCCTCCTCTGTTACATGCTAAATTATTATTTCTTATGTTTTTAGTCAAACTCTAGAAAAACAGAGACATTTTGCCTGCACAATTTCTTAGACATAAGACTCTGTGCTGCACTATTCAGGGCAAGATGAAAAAAACTTTATTCACTGAAGAACACCTGAATTGAATTCAGTGAAGCCATCTGTAAAGTGACACATTCGCCATATTAAAGATCTAATATTCTAAGCACTGCATGCAGTACATCATTACACCATGACAGGGGCTGCTTCCCGTGGTTATTAGTGGAAACAGAGTATAACTGTGCCAGACTGCTAGTTCACATTCTCCAGGTCATTCCTGTGCAAATATTACCTGCACATGACATTGTAGCTCTTCATTGACCTGTGAGAAATACATCTGATTATTGTATTTCCTGTATTTCTTCACAGATTTCTAACAGAAGTGAACACTCTGCCATTATTGGACTTTTCGTGCAAATCAGCAAGCAGCACGAATTTTGAAAAAGCAGATAAAATGAACCATGTTATAGGTCAACAGAGAAAGATATATCCAAGGAGATTTCACTATTCTTCCTGTGTTGTCTGCCCTGCTAATTCATTTCTGCAGAGCTAGCAGTCAAGCCCCATTTGAAAACAGGATATTGGATAAGAAAGTCTGTGTTTATCACAGAGTTCTTCAACAGTCTTCTGTACTTCAATGAAACACTGAGAAAGCTCTGCACTGGAATCGAAAACAAAAAAACATGGGACTCCATAGCCAAACATATGTTTCCAAATGTTTCAGAATAATCCTTAAACTCCTACATTTGCATTTAAGGTGAGATTCTTACAATTATGAATATATAACACTGCAAATTATAATTAATATTTGGTTTTATTGTACTTCTTACTACATAAACAGTACTTTTTCCAGAAGAAAAACTTTAAAAGGGAAAAAAACACATAGAAGAAAATAACATTTCAAAAAGCACATCAAGTGTATACAATTTTCAGTAACATAATATCAAATTAATTTGATTGTAGTCAATGGGAACACTAAAACACATAATAACCAATATAATACTAAAACTCCATTTTCTTCTGCCCTTAAATGATTAGTTCTGGATACATAGAATCAAGAAATACAGACTTCAAGAGAGGAAAGCAGAAATAGGTACAGGAGACAGATTCACCTGATGGTACTGACCTATTGAAGAGAATGTGGAACTTAAGTAATTTTTCTTTACTCCCTCAACATTACAGGTTTATTTTTACACAGCTCAAGAGATAAAGAGCATTATTTTGGTCACCTATGATGTAGGACCTGTCTTCATATAAACAGATCACAGCCTGTCACAAACATACAGTTTTCTTTTACAGATACTCTAAAGCATTTCCCTCAGGATATCTGGGTATTATTTCTTCCTGACATAACTTTTCATTTATTTATCTGCAGAATACGCATAGCAGAGGCAGAAATTCTGTGACTTCTCTTTATTTTACATGGACAATGCTCAACTTTCAGAGAAGAACTAGAGGAAAATAACAAGTCAGTCTTCATTGGCAATTCAAACACTGCCAACAAAATCACAGGTTGGTGCTTTCTGTCATTGGCCAGTCTGCAATATAAACTTCTAACTGAATATTTTGGGACAGGACGCATCCAGTTAATTCATGAAACACAGTGTTATGCTGTGACATACAATACTTTGTGACTAGCAATGTGAACTGGAATTAAGTCAGAAGCAAGAGGATCCATAAGTCAATGTAAGACCTTTCAAGCATTTTAACATCTGAATTATTTGCATGGTGTTTTAAAATAACAGCCTTCATTGCATAGTTACATCTGACCCTCAGTGGTGCACTACTTAGAGTACTAATAGTTTTTCTTGACACGTTAAAAATAGTTGTCGCCTCATTCAAGAGAATTGTTTCTTGACTAGTTATTGTTCTATGGTTCTAGAATTATGTTGTAACAAATTTGAAGTTTTCATATTGCAGTTTACCACTGCTGTTTATATGACTATAGCAAACACTGCTCAAGAGCATTGTGGAACAAAGGCAACAAGACAATGACTTCTCTCTGTGCACATGAGTTGTCCAAATCAAGTATTTCCTTTGGTCCAAGTACAGACCTCAGAGGAAAAAAAAAAAAATGCACTGCAAAAATTTTGTAATATAAATTGAATGCTGGAGAAAAGAATACTGCATTTTTATGTTCTTATTTTTGCTTTTGTTTTTTACGGACAATTCACATGGAAATTAAAAAATCATTTACTTTGAATTCTTTGTACAGAAAAGCAACTTGGCATGGTAGGAACAAATACACTTTTGAATTAAAAAATTAATTTATAACAAACAAGTTATATGAATGATATATCAATACCAGCAGAAGTCCTTTAGTAGCCAATGTTTATATTTTATGGAGCATTAAATGGTAACATTTAAAAGGTATAATGCCACCTACAACATGTCTGCTAAGTCTGTCTATGGAGAAGAAAAATGGAAGCATTGTTAAGCCAGGTGCATGGTCCTCTAACTGGACCTGATACACAAGTGAGCTGGCTGTGTGTCAAATGGTCTTCAAAAGTAAAATCAGAACAGTGGAAACATCAACATGTTCATTCCCATCCACTCTGCTTCCTGCTTGCAGTAATTGCTCCATACCAAAAGCTATAGTTGTGTCTTCAACTGGGTTTTCTCCGTTTCCTACTTTCACTTAGCGTTGGATCTATGTTGTGCATGCAAGAATGGGAAGCATCAAAACCTCCTTATTCCCAAAATACACGATGAAACATTCAGATAAGATTTCTGCAAAATGTGTCACACAAACCCACAAACCCTAACAACACAAACACACACAGTAAAAAAAACCCACACCAACCAAAAACCCACAAAAAATATGACATAGGATTTTTAACATAGATAAATTTCTAAACTTCCAGAGCAGGAACATTTTTAGAGGATGAGTGAGAAATAATTCAATTTTTTGTACTATTGATACTCACAGTAAACAAATACACTTTCAGTCTAGACTTCAGCCATTTTACTAAGTTTTAAAAAATGATGCATTGAAATTGTAGTTTGTTCTCTTACACCAAATTTTTCTTTTCCTTATTTTTCCTTAAGCCATATGCTGAATTTTTGAAATTTCAAACCAAAAAAAAAAGAAATTAAGAATATTTTATGTGCTTGTGCATAACAATATCTAGAGACACTCTTACCATGAGAGTTAAGTTTTAATAGCAGTGTTGAAGAGGAGACTAAAAAGTAGCTGGTGGTCAACCATGTTAAACACCACACCTATAAAAAAGTGACAGTAGCAGAATACAGAAGTTCAATAGTCTGGAAAATCACAATAAATCAATATAAATATATATATATTAATATCTTTTTTTCTGATAGTGACATAAAATATATGTAGTGATGCTGGTGGCTGGAGCACATGTCATCCCACTGCATGCAGCATTCAGTTATTTGTTCCTTGTTGTGTTATGGAAATCAAAACTCTGAATTTATGAATAATAACAACCACACCCCATCTCTTCAACACACATAAACCAGCCCCCACTCCTGTAGCTGGAGCCTTGTGTTAACACATTCTGCCACTAGAGGATAGTGTTGCCATATGACTATGCACAGGCTTAAGTACAATGAGTACATAAAATTACTGAAAAGTTCAAGTTATTTTGTAAAGCTAGGGGAAAAAAAATATATTTCAATAAATGGATTTTTTTCCCTGACAACCCTGAAGCCTCTTTTTTAATAAAAATAAGAAAGAGCAAAATCATGTTGAATAATTTTTGATTAGCTTATTTTTAGTAAATTTAATATGTACTGTTAGTAATCTTTAACATGTTATATGTTTTAATAAATGAGATTAATGCACCTCAGGCTGAGTGTGCTACCTGGGAATCTCTTGGAACGACACAGCCTTGATGCAGGGGTCTGACATAAAGCAGGTAACTGAATTTTTTTGTAGTGGTACTTGTGAGAACTAGAAGTATCAGACTAGAAAACTGACTGAGGACTGTTCTGAGGACTAGGAGCCAGATCAGGCCAAGCTTGGGAATACTCACTTATGCTAGTAGTAGGGAATCAGAAACTCACTCCTCTAATACGTTACTTACACCTTCGCTTCAGCAAAGCGGAGATAAATCAGCTGCAGATTTCCATCAAAATGTGCAGATCACACTTAGGAGAAAAACCTGTGCCAGTCTCAGGAATATGCTGTATTAAATAAAAAGTCATAATGAATTGCTGCAATCAGGAATAAGAAAGGAAAGGAAGTGATACTGTCTCAGTCATCCCCCACAGTTCTACCTGACACACTACATCTATGAATTTCTCCATGTTCAAAGTAAGAATTCTAATTTCTCTGAGAAAAAAATCAAAATCTAACTTCAATCTGGTGATGATATGGAGAGTATTCTTCCATTAAGAGGGCGAGGATACATTTTACATACATGTTTCAGCAGTGGGAATCTACAGTGGAACACAATGAACTCATTTAGACCTATGGTGACCTTATGATGTTGTTTCCCACACTGAGCACCACACTCTACAGAACCAGAGAGCATTTTTTCTTAATGTTTATTAAATGCTCACAATTTACATTACTAACATGACAATACCTAAAGTGAGGTGTCTATTTAATGAGTTATTTTGTATTGCTTTCATTTTTAGCAATTGGTAATATTTAGAGAAGAAAAACAACAGTACATGTGGCTTAGAAAATACAAGCTATGGGAGAGATGAAGAATTTGAGAGCACAGAACTTTAATTCTCCTTATACATGAAAAAGGTAGTTATAAAAAGATGATCATTTATTGCTCAATGTATTCACTAAAAGGAGGACTGGAAGAAGAACAGAAAATATTAATTGAATACTACATTGAAAACAATTTAAATATATATAGTGATAATTCTGCCAAGCAGTAGACTCACTAAGAAGGCTGTAAAATCTTCTTTACCAAATGTTTTCAGTAAATGTGAGAATGTTGTATATTATTCAGGAGAAAAAAGCTGACAGGAGTAATAGGTTATCATGGATTATCTCTTCAGGAATATTCCACCTTTCCTACATATTTGCAATTCTTGTATGATCCTAAACTGCTGTTTTTGTGAGACAAAAATCTCTAGTCACTTGCAACCTTAGCAAAATCAATACAAACTGGGAGAATGGTATTGCATCTGACGGGTCAACTCACGTTATTAGCAATAGTAATATGATATTTTTAAGAAAAGGGATCTGAACAAGGTATATACAAAAGCTATTAAAATTAAGAAAAATCCACCCTCATTCTTGATGGAATTCTTTCAGTTGTAAACACATTTTTAGCACACTTTTTCTGTGCCCTTGTACAAAAACGGCGATGTAAATAATTCCTCTTTTTTTAGCTATCAGTTCATCAACAATATTGAGCAATATCTTGGAGACTCTACTAACAATTTCTAAAAGTTTTTTCACAGTACTGAAACCAGTGAATAGAAAAAGAAAATAGTAGTTACTAAAAACAAAAGAACCCAAATGCTTCAGCTTTGTCATGCCACAACTGAAGCGTTCTTCTTTCAAATAGAGTTATTTAAATTCAGTAAGGAATATAATTTTATTAGGTAATCTTAATTTAAAATGAAGCAAATTTGAGTAATTTTGAACCCAGCAAACTCCAAAAACATTTAACTGGGATTTTTCCTGTGAACTGCTTCATTACACATTATATTTCTACAGATAGAAGAACCTATGATTGTTTTCATAAACTTATTTTACTCCCATTTTAGCAAACTTTTGTATTAACATCACAATCAAGCTTTACACTTTACTGTTTGAGATACATAAAATTCTCTGTGTGTTCTCTGCATTCTAAAGAAATCCACTAAATCTATCAGATCTTCTAAACTATGAACTGCTTCATTCAGATAAGAGTTTGGGTTTTTTTGGCTATGACTGCTGAAACTGGTTTTAAGTTGCAGTTCTGATTTTTCTTAACAATTAATTTCATTTTCCTTGAAACATTTGCAGCTCATTCAGCTTTGCTTTTAAACGTACATGATTAAGTAACTGTGAGTAGATAACAGCTGGCAAATGATCTTTACCAAAATGGCCAAGAGCTTTCATAAAAAAGACGTCCAAATACATTGTCAACAGAGATACTAAACTCTGATGTATGAAGCATTTTAATCAGCATTAAGTCAGTTTTTTGGGCAAGGAGACCTGAAACTGAATTTCAGGTTCTGGACCGTGACCATTCACACATTATCCAGGGACATCAGTATAATTATTCTTGAAATTTAATCAGCAACTCACAGGGATATTAAGAAATTATTTTCTCTCATATTTCCCCTTTCAGTCTCTTGGCTTTTGGGATATGGCTATGAAACCTTTTCCAATTGCCAGTGACTCTGGAGGACCTGGATTTTTAATGTCAGAGCTGCAGCTGGCTTTTGTAATTTACACAATTCAGACACTTTTTGCATAATCTAAATAATAAAAACAAGAATGTTTCATGTCCCACCTTAATACCCATCTCATCTTTAATGTAAGAGCTATATCTGAAGCTGAGTTTGACTTCAGGAACTTACTCATACCACTGAGTCAACCAAGGCCGTGAACCATACCCTGCTGAATGAGCTACTTATAGTGGTCAAAGTTGTGCAGTAGATGTTGCAATACTAGCAAAAATGAAACAACATTTGTCCCACTTGAACAATAACAATAAATATGACTACAAAAAAAATCCCCATCTAAACCAGTTTAAGGCCCCTCTGTACCTGTTTACCTACATAACCTTTTATACTTTCTTACAGGAGGATGAATACCAGGAACAAAAAATGCCTTTATGCTGGTCCTTTTCCTGAAGGTCAAAACCAAAATGAGCCATCAGACCAGCAAGGAGACCAGTCTGCAGCAAATCCTTAGAGATGCTGTAATTCATGCTGTCAGTTACCTACCAGGCACTGGTTGTCATAGCTATATCTCCTCTGTATACTGTGTACAGTGTATTGCAGTAAAACAATCTTGAAGCCACAAAGGCATAAAACCTACAGAGATCTGTAGCAGAGGTAAACAGCCAAGCCTTTGGTGGTTTTGGCCAGTCATAATACCTGATATTAAAATTAATTTTAAAAAAACAATAGGCTAATTATCTTGTAGATGTCTTGGATCAAGGATGAAACCTGCATGCCGTTTTCTCCCAGACACAAATATTTTCCAAGTCTATACAAACCACTCTTCGTAAGGAAAAAAAAAGATCAATACTTAGAAAAAAGCAACACTTCCAGAGACATTAAAAACTTAACAGCTAGTACAATCTTCTTTTGGCTGCAGGCTTTTAATCTGACAAAAGTTCAGATCATATTGTTCAGCAATTTAAAAATTAAACTACTCCAAATGATAAAAATGTAAATTATGGGTTTGAATGGCTTAAGTTCTAATGCAATAATTGCATTGCCTGGTGAAACTGTTAATTAAAAATGTTAAAACACTGATCAAAACAAACAAAATTCTCTAGATATTTCTGGTTATTTTTCTAGCACTGACTTTAAGAGAGCTGCACCAATCCATGCCAGCACTCAACTTAAGTCCAGAGCACTGCATTACTTGTTTCATAGCATTAAGTGATTTATATTATTAAGTATCAGTTGTTTTAGTTATAACAAACTGTTATACAAGTTACTCTTCTTTGTTCACACTCCCTCTTTTGGAAAACTATTTTGAAACAGCGATAAAACTTATTAATGTAGTATAGATTCTTATGCAAACAGTAAGCAAACTCATAGATCAATTCTAATTTCATTCTTATGCTTTAATTCCTTTTATCCCCTAAAACAGAAAATACAAAATAACTTGCCAGGGCTACTAAGAAGATGCTGGAACTCAGAACCTAAATAATGATTATATAGCTCATGCTGGAAGAATTAATAGCAACATCAAAGCTAGAGCACAATCCACAAATACATTATTAATGATGTTTTCTTCTCCAATCAGCAGATGGCCACTGAACAGCTCAAGTGACTGGTAATAGGATACTCAGCTTTTCATCTCCAAGTATCTGCATCAGGTCTGTCTCAAGTGGGTTGTAACTGAAAGGTATTATTTGACAGGCATTCAATAGCAAAAATATAATAGCCAGTCTCAGTCTAGAGACTCTGCTTTTCCCATGCAATCTGATTAACAAAGCTGCCATGTTATTTTCAAACTCAGGGTTGAGTAGGCCAGGAGACTTGATTATCCTTTTAGGTCAAAAGGGTCAGCCCATGAAAACAAGTTTGAAACCCAGGTGCAAGTGGGACAACGGACACAGTGGTCAGTTTCTGTTAGTGTCCACCAGTGCTTTTTTCAATTACTAGATTAGCTTTTAAATACACAAACAAACAAAAAGACAAGAAGGAAAAAAAAAACTTAAATGAATGGGGAAAAAATAGTGTAATGAGATAGACTTTTCACGAAAGTTTGCATGAAGGATGTGATGTGTTCTTCATCTGCACACTCAAGGCACAAAAATTTTTTATATGGATACAAACATACAGTATGAATATAAAACATCTGTACTGTTAAAAAAAAAAATTAGTAAATTGATAAAATCAATTATAATTGTGATTGTAACTCCCTTCTGCAGGAAGCCCGGCATCTGCTGTTCTCAACAAAACTCATCATGTTCAGTGGTCTCCCTGAGCTTTGAATATTAGAGGTTTTATATGTTTACTGAACAGAACCACACTTACATTTGCAGGGAATCCAATTGAAATTAAGGGGACTTCAATACAGACTCAAAGGCTACCTTTACCACCTCAAATCTGATACAAGAATTAGTCATAATGCAGAAACCTTTTTGTGAAAAGTAAATTACCATCAGGGTATATTTGGAGTAAGCCTAGCAATAGACATCTCAAACATAATTAATCAGTCAATTTCAAACACAAGGTCAGTATCATATGATAGGTTTTTTTATGAGAATATTTCTGAAAACGTATCAGGAATGAAAGAGAATTCTACATGTAAAAGTGCTGCAGAGATCTAGCAATAGGTGATAGAGTTGTTGAGTCAGAATTCTAAAAAATACAACTTTGTTACCACCTTGACATCCATGGACATTATCTTCATGGTTTATCTTCTTCAATATCAGTATAGAATATGAAGACAGATGCTAAAGACTGCTCTCCAACAGGATTAAATCCCTTAGGTTAAAGGTGGCTGAACATACAATTTAAATCTGTATCTCTGTATACCTATAAAAACCTATTACAGTCGTATCTCAATAAAACAATTGGAATTCAGTTTGTATTTAAAGCTACTTGTTATCACTGTTATTAGAATCACAGTCCAGATTGTCTCCTTCCTTATTCTGTAGAGACAAATTGCCATAAAGATAGACAAGAGAGGTATGAGAAAGAAAAAGAAACACTGAGATTAACTTGCCAAAATCACACTGCAAATTAATGGTCAAATTAAGAATAGAATCCAGATCATTAAAACCCCAGTCTGTTGCTGAGCTCACAGAGTATTCCCTCAGGCTTTTTCCAAGACATTTTTATTAGCCATCAGTGTTTACTGGCACTAATTAATGTTAGACCACAAAAAGACCTTTTAAACAAAGCATCTGAATTTACCATCTATCAAAATTCCACTTCCTCTGTAACATTTACAAAATAATCAAACAGTTGACTAGGAGGCTCCTGAATGTTCATGCTGCACCAAATGTATTCAAAGTTCACTCAAGCCTACACGAGCCTCTCAGGCCAGCTGATGTCTTATCAACACCTGCAGCCAACAGCATGCACAGGAACGCATGGAGCAGCATCAGGTGATGAACTTTATCCTTAAGGCCAAGCAATGCTGACCTAGACACAGCTGAGAAGCCTGGAAAAGTACCATCAGAGCTTGAACACTCATGGCAGTGACTAGTGAGCCTTTGCTCCCCTTAACTTATGTATACTTAATAAATTATACTATTTAGTTGCTCAGCTTATGATCACTTTCCCCTCATTCTGGTTTCCAGGCCACAACTTATGCATATAGCTAATTTAGCATTTAATTGAATAATATGATGCATATTGCTTGGGAAGTGTATAGCAAAACCAGATTCTTCTGTGAAAAGGACATTTCCCTTACATTTCAATTACAGTGCTATAATGCTTCAGCCTTGAATTTAAATCCCTGGTTGGTTCCATAATACAAGTAAATTTTTAAAAAAACTTTAAAGATTAGACATTAGTTCATCTAGTTTCTGACACTCTAGATAAATATTAAAATGCCTTGACATATTTAGCAGAAATAAAATTCAAATCCAAGTTGGTGAAGTCAGAAAAACATCTAATTAACTTGGTATGATGAGTACATACATTTATATAAAAATCCTAAAGAAACCTTTATTTATGTATCTTACATACCTTATCTTGTTTCTGTACACAATTTATTTACCATATTACCATTATTCTCTTTACATATATGAAAGAAGTTTTAAATGTAAAGTGCCCTGGGAATTATGAACCGGCACTTACCAATCTTCTTCTTTTCTCTGCTAACAACAGGGATTTTTAATTTCAATTTATATTAAAAAGCAGATAACTTTAATTCAAATGCCTTCTAATTCTTTCTTTGAAAAAAAATTAAAATGGAGTACATAAAGAAATCTGGGCATTCAGCCTATAAATTAGATAACACAAGACAGGCAAAGGGCTGTCCATAAAACTACCTTGGTAGCCCCAGGGAAAGGAAGAGAAGAACAGTTTTCACAATTGGCTCTTGAATCATCTTGTTACATGATTATGGAATACTTCTTTGAACAGCCAAGAAATGTATGAACCAAGAGTCTTCAGATAAAGTTGAAAATAAATATGTGAGAATAGCAATAAAAGCAAAAGCAGAGAACATACAGCATGCTGGAGATGGGAGCTGGTCTGGGAAATTAAACTCTCAGAGAAGAGTTGTGATTAATCAGCTGTGCTGACATCAATACATGCCATTTTCGCAGCAATAAACTGTGGACAGAAAAAAAGGAGCATTAAGTTAAAAAAAACACGAACCTCTGTGAAGGCAATGCATAAAATATAAAGATTATGTGTCATGGTTCTGTGGAATGCATGCAGACAAAAAATCTGTGTCAAAGGCCTTGTTTTATGACTTCTTAGTAATTGTCTATCCAATACTTCTAATCAACTTCCTGATGTTCAAAAGAAGTTCTAACATAGCTAAGAACTGGCGATAAAATGTAAATACAACTCATATCTATGCAAAATGTCTGAAATAAATACTGAACATAAGATGCAAACAAATTTAATGTTGGGGCAAAGTCTGTACAGGAATACCAGATAGTCAGTACACAGCATGATATAAATACAGATGGAAGAGAAATCTGCACTTAAGTTGGTCTAACATTTCCTATTGTAAGATTCTGGTTTGAAATGCTTATAAGCTTTGCCAATGTTTAATTGCTTTGTCTAAATTCTTTCAGAGTATCTGATTTGCTTAAACCTTCAGTAAAAATGTGACTAAGCAAAAACATCCTGGTTTGATGAAGCTGATTAATTCTTAATAACTCTTATATTGAAAAACTGAATTTAGAATTATGAATTCCTCAGTACAAACAGACTGGACTAGAGCTCCTGGACTGATCTAGCTGGAGGGCTACAAAGGTGAGTAAGGGACTGGACTGTCTCTCTTATGAGGAAAGGGCTGAGGTAGCTGGGCCTGTTCAACCTCAGGAAAAGCCAACTGAGAGGGGACCCCATCAATGCCTACAAGTATCTGAAGGGAGGGTGGCAAGAGAATGGATCCAGGCTCTTCTTGGTGGTGCTGAGCAACAGGACAAGAAGCAATAAGCAGAAACCGATGACCAGCAAGTTCCACCTGAACATGAGGAAGAAATTCTTTACTGTGCACTGACCATGCATTGGAACAGATTGTCCAGAGAAGCTGTGTAGTTTCTCTCTCTCAAGAACAATCTGGATGCAGCTCTGTGCAATGTGCTCCAGGACAACACTGCTTGAGCAGGGAGGTTGGACACGATGACCTGCTGTGATCCCTTACAACCCAACTCATTCTATGATTCTGAGACTCAGGACTTTTACCAGCCAGTAGAATCTACAGCTGAATCAGAAGCCAAGGCTTCCATCACAAAACAGAAGGAGATTATGAATGCACCTGCGCTATCAGTTTGAATTACTGTCTGTTTTGTTCCAAGGTCCTCTTCATTAGCATTCACTCTGAATGTGCACGTTTGATTATTCCTGGAATACTCTCTGAATCAAAATAACAAGGCTTGCTCTTAGAAAAATTCTATAAGCCATACAGTGATCAGACAGCTCTAGGAAATGGTTTGAGAAAAAAATATCTGTATTCTTGGTCCAATCCTCCAACAACATCCTTGCAAGCCCTTGCCTGGCGTGACCCTGTAACATGTCTTTCTGACAACATGGCATAGGAGGAGATAGGTGGTGTGCCGCAAGCGCTTCTCCTTTTATCTTGGGCAAACAAAAAAAGTCTTGTTATTAAAGAACCTTTCAAAATTGTTCAGATGTCTCATATGCAAAGGTAGACTTCAAAGTGCATCGAGGGAATCGGTCTGGCAGAGGCTTCTAGACTAACACAGTTTTTGAAGACAGGGAACCCTGCAGGATTTACCCTGACTATCAAACCAGACCTGGTTGAGGCTGCTTCATGCCAAGGAGTAGATCCAGGCAATGATACTTAAACCCAAATTTCATCCTTCTTAGAGTACACAGTAAGAACTGGCCTGATCCCAGTATGTGAGCACAGCAGAGGAGTGATGCCTGTGCAATGCATGCAGAGAGGCTGTGGAAGGCCTGCAGAGCTCTGTAAGATCCCTGCAAAGCCTGCTCGGTGCAGCAGCAGGCAGCCTGCCCTAGGAGGAGCAAGACAAAAGTTCTGCTGGTGGAAGCTACTCCCCGCAATCGGACAAGGAAGTACGGATTGCTCCCAAAAATCAAAAATCCAGTGTATGCATCATCTTAGAAGATGGACACTTCTGAGCATACGCAGACACAGACCCTCATGAGTCCACAAATTCATGGTACTCGCAGGGTTAAGTCCTGAGAATGCCTTTTCAGTGTGTCTTTCAACTCTTCCCACACTGAGATAAAAATATACAGCTATATTAGCTATGACAAACCCTAAAAACAGCAGAAAAAAAGGTATGAAGTGTTGAAGGAGAAAATCTTGTATGACATCAACAGGAGGTACAATTAATTGGTTCTCTTCGTTCATTCTATAAATACCAACTTAAATATGATAAAAATGAAAATGTAGGAGTTTTAGCTGCAGTCACCTTTATGTTACTAGTCTCACTCATCTGATACAAAATTAATCTTTCCTTTGATATAGTGTAGGAAGAAGGAATGCTAGTACATGTATGGGAACATTGTACTTAATGCAGCAAAAAACCTGGAATGAACAAAGACTGCTAAAAATTGCAGCAAAACAACATAAAAATACAATCTGGACATGAAAAAGAGATGAACTATCAAAAATAAATATGTCCCTTCTACTTCCTAAATGCTAGGCACAGACAATAAATTTTAAACAGATTATTATATTATATTTTCAAGTAATTCTTAACTCATTATAAAGACAAAAAACAAACTGACAGAAATAGTGAAAATGTGAAAGCAGACATCCTAATTTATAAATGTCACATAGTTGCATCTCTTTGAGGCTTTTTCCTGAAAAGATTCAACTCCATGACATACAGCAAAGTCTTGCTTTTAACATCTTTTTATTTGCTTCACTGAGGCAGAACATCAAGCGATTTGTACAAAGTGTTTTAATGTTGCTATTTTTGTAATTCTCATCTCTCTGGAATTTGGGTATCAGCACACAAATTCAGGCACTTCTCATAGGAATTGGCATTCTGGATAAGACAAATGGTTCATCCGGCTTAATAGCCTGTGTTTTACTTTGATCATCATCCGAATTCCCCCATGTAGGTCATCTTAATACTTAATAACCACTGTGGTACACACAAGCAGATAACATTTTTTTAACTATCATTAGATATTTTTGTGATATATTATTTGCCCAGAATATTTCTGAATCTCTGCATAGATGCCTGTCATGGTTTAACCCCAGTAGGCAGCTCAGCATCACACAGCTGCTTGCCCACTTACCCCCAATGGAATATAGGTGAGAATGAAAAGGGTAAAAATAGGAAACTTCATAGGTTGAGAATAAGACAATTTAATAATAATGAAAAGAAAATACACAAAGAAGAAAATATGAAAAAAAAAAAAAACAAAAATTGCTCACCAGCAGCCAACAGACGCTCATCTAGTCCCCAGGTAGTGCCAGCCCCAGGCAACCTCCACACACCCCCATCCAGTTTTACTGCTGAGCAAGATATCACACAGTATGGAATATCCCTTGGGTCAGCTGGGGTCACTGTCATCGTTATGTCCCCCCCAACCTCCGGTGTACTCCCAGCCTCCTCATTGGTGGGGCAGAGTGAGAAGGAGAAAAGGTCTTGAGGTTGTATAATCACTGCTCAGCAATAACAAAAACATCCTTATGTTCTTAGTACTGTTTTCATCACAAATCCAAAGCACATCTAGCCCCACAGAATCTACTAAGAAGAAATGTAGCTCTATCACAGTTAAAAGCAGTACAATGCCTTAGTAACCTTCTGCATGAGTTGTCCATTCTCATTATTTATGTTTTTCAAGCTCATTTTAAAATTAAGTTGGCCCAAACAGAAATCCAGAATCCTCCATGTGTTAATTAATATGGACAATGGCTACTGATAAGATCTAATACCAGGCCTCTTTCCACTATATCACATATGGCTATATGTGATATTTCCAAGTGGTCCAGAAGCTCTATTAAAATTTTGGCCTGGGCACCCAAAACCTAGCCCCCTTTGTCAGAGCTGTATTTGCTTCCAGCCATGTCTCCTTCCCACATGATTTATTAACTGAACTTCCAAGGTGGACCTCAGGCTTACATTGCAGGTGCACCATTCTCTCTGGCCCTGGTCTCCTGGATGAGCCTTATAAACAATCTTATGGATGAGCCTGGATCTAGAGCCTCCAATCTAGATCTCCAATCTCTTCCACAGGAAGTCTTGTCTTCATTCTGGCCTTTGGCTCTTTCTCCTGTCACTTTTGAGTGGATTTTTAGGGTGGATGCCTGAATTCTTGCCTTGCCTTGTCTCAGACTGGTACTGGCACCATCCTGACCCCACTGAGTCAATGCCCTGGTCAATGCCTTTGCTTTAGCCATGCTTTGCTCCCAGCTCTTTCCTTCTCATGGAGCATCTTCTGCTGCTCCCCAATACAAGACAAGCAAGCTGACTACTGATTTTGCCAATAAGCCTCTGGGAGTTTACTGAAAAGAATGTTAGCATGAGTTTCACAACTTACCTGAAGGAAAGAGAGTTCTGATATTTTTTAAAAAGGGAAAAATCTCCTAGCAAACGTTTTCTATAATGTTATAATTGCCTGAATAACTAATAATATTCATTACATTCAAATGAAGCCTTATTTATTTTTTTTTAAACTTAGAGGCAAGGAAGAGAGTGAAAAGGATCTAGAACAGACAAAACTTAGAGAAATCTGTATTTCAGTGTAATAGTTCCACAGTGAGTGAAAATTCTTAAAGCTAAGATTCAGATAGCATAATTAATCATACATGAACTTTTTTTTCATTTTTTTACTAGTCCAAATTTTACAAAAATACAGAGTATTATTACAGCTAGAAGGCATCCAATATGACACTACTACACATATATATGTTTAATTATGGCTCTGAACACACATCTCTGGTTCTGTGTTAAGTGATGCCAATAATAGCCATTTGTAATTATGTGGTCACATGTAGGGCTAAAATATCATGTTGTTTACTTTTATGAAGTTCCAAGTTTGACCTGTTACTAATTACCTCAAAAGAGTCTGACTTTTATACAGCTGTGAATAAATTGTTTTGTAGCCTTTATAATACTGCAGATGGTGACAGCAGGGCATCCAACACTAATGGATTTGAAAATAATTGAGGAGAATTAAAGCCTTACAATTTATATTGAGAACAGCATAAGAATTATTTAATGTGATTTAGCGTAAGCAGAATGAATCCATGCTTGTAAAGAAAGTTCCTGAAAGATTTCTAAGCTTTTTTGTGAAGCTGAGTATATTGGTTTTGCAGCTTTTAACGTTAGATTACATAGAAGCAGAATCTATTGCAGGTGCTGATTAAGTAGTTTGCTCCCTCAGTTAGTTCCTTGAGACATAATCTGCCAGTTCCACTATTCTTGCCAGGAAAGTTACCTTAAGTAGTATTTTGGCTCATGAAGGCATGAGAAAAAAATCTGTTTCTATTTCAACCCATCTATTCCAGCCTCTTTATAGCAATTGGTCCTTCAGGTTTCAGTTCTCTATATCTGACACAGTGTGCCAGACAACAAAAGTCTGTCAATGAAGAGATGTTTTGAGAAACAGCCTGACAATGTTTGACAATTATGTATAATGATGGCAGTTCACTGGCTGCTAAAACCTTGTCCACAAGTGGTATTGCATAGTTTCAGCTGAGCCAAATTAACAGCTTCCTAGCAAAAGGTCTCATTGTCTCCTGTTGCCAGTGCTCAGTTAGTTTTCTACCATTTTAACAAGCTGAACTGGCACACCACCCAATTAAACCAGAGACAGTGCATGGGAAGCAATAAAGTCATACAAGTGGGGATGGAAGATGTTATCCCTGTCACAGTGACAGTGATCCATTCAGTAAACTCAGGCCAAAACATGACTGCTCAACCACTGTAAAGGGATTAAAAAACAAGCAACAAAAACATGAAAAGCAATCAACCAGACGAGAATATTCAATACAGCTGGAAAGGACTAACTGTGTAAATATTCCCCTTTCATTGGCACACAGGACACTTGGCCCAGTTTCAAGCTATTAAATATTATCCAGGTGTTTTACACAATACTTGACATTGTTTGGTGACTTAACTTTTGCAAATTTAGAGAATTTGATCAGTACTGTAAAAAATGCATATTAGAAACTATGCTACATGCACTAGGTTTTGATGTTTTAATTAGAGTGATAACCTAATCAGCGTCACTATGTTCTGGTTTTTGAAAACACCTAGTTTGCATAAAATGTTCAGAAGTTAATGCAAATATTAATATAGTCATATTCACACACAAATTACATCACCTTATTTACATAGTTATTCCTATTTCATAGCAGAATAATTAGGCCCACAGAGCCATACTGTTGTAGTAAAAGTAAGATTTCATCACTTAAGTCACTTATCTTAGTCTCATGTTTTATGAAGACACTAGAGCATACAGATTGAACTATTTTTCTTGTAAACCTTCTCCACCCACTGATTATTTCACATAATAGAGCAGGCCTTGAAAAACACAATTGCTTTCTGTTACTGGTGAATTAGACTCTGCAGCAAAGTGAGGTGAGGGGGAGTCAAGTTTTCACAAGAGTTTCTACATCTGTGGTCACAAAGAAAACCTCATAAATGTTAACTGAGTCAGTACCAACTTTTGAACCTGTATTCAGTTCAATGTATTGATTCAAGGTTTCACAACTAACTGCAAAATAAGGACAGACAATTTTTGCTGCTCCTATTCAGAAGTACTTGGGTAAGAACGATACTGACAGAGTTTTTCCATTATTTAGAAAAACTATGAGCACTAGCAGCACAAAAGAGGCCAAGAGCCAATGAGAAACTCATTAAGCTGCTTAAACTGATCTAAATCTAGGCTGTTGAGGTCACATCCCGCCCCCGCCACATATTTCCACCCCCTTCCTTCAGCCAATGCTGGTGTTTACAGAAGCAGGTAGTAGGATGTCAGTTCAAGGCAAAAAAAAAAAAACAAAACCCAAACAACAATCTCCAAACTAAAACTAAACCAACACACCAACACATAATTTTGTGAGGACAGTTTTCAACGTGATCAATTCTACAAAGAGGTTTAAACTTCCCAGTACCAGCATCAGTGCAGGGGAGAGAGACAGCAGCTGGGAATTAAGAGTAGTTTAAGCTTCTACAAAATTGTAACCTAACTAAGAAATGGAAGCTCTTGCGTTTATCCTTAGCTATACAAACCCTTTCACACGCTGATCAAACTCCAGACTACAGATGGAGGTAGATTATTTTCCTTTGCTGTCCCTTAGTACTTCAAAAATCCATGTTATTCTGTTGGTCAGAAATGTCATTTACCAGTAGCAACTCATTCATGACTCACTCTTAGCAGAGGCACAACGGTGATAACTGCACCTCATTTCTTAACTCCCAAACCAGAGAGGATGAGAGAAAGGATAAGAGGCAGGGTAATATGTTTCCTAGCACTTAGGAAACAGGAAAGAGGACTGAAGTAAGAGGAAGCAGCTCTCCACAGTCAGTAAATTTCTTTGCAGTGCCTGGAAGAGGGAAAGTTTCTTTGTCTTTTTCTCCAGAGCAAAAGCAGTGTTCGAATATAATGAATACAAGCTGATACAAGTATCTAACATTAGATACTATACCATCAGACACAACTGTTTACTAGAATTCCATATCCCAAAAATGACAGCATATGCGCTTGCTCATGCTGGATTTGATACTCACAGGCTGGGTAAGGAATGAGATCAATTTCACTTTTACACTGTATTTATTAAGTTGCAATTTTCTTATCCTTTAGCAGTACAACACAGTTAGAACTTAACAAGTATGTCCAATCTAAATGTAAAACATTTTACATCTTGATGCTATTATGAGTGCTCATGACCTCTGCACTTTTCTCCTCAGTTAACATTAATTTGTGGCTTAATCTGACCATGGGAGAAATGCAGTTTGCAAATTTTCCAGACTGAGTACTTGCACATTTCTTCTTTTGTCTAAGATTGTCCTAAATTTCGTATTCCGGTTTTGGAAGATTAAAAAGTGATTTGTTTGCTAAAAAATTACCTCTGGTACAGGTGGGCATCATGAACACGTGCACAACTGAACTTCAGGCTTTTAAAAGCAATCAAGATATCGTTTCAAAACCAGGCTGCAACTTCGCAACGCTCACCTTCCTCATGCACATACTGCACATTGAAGTCCGCAAAATGACGATGGACACACTGGATTTGTACCAAAGGGCCAGCGAACTTCAGGTATGCCCTATATTTTTTTTTTTTCCCCTTAACGTTTCCGCTCCCCAGTGACGAGCGCCCGGACGCCCATGGCGGAGCCCGTGCCCCTCGCCCAAGAGCGGCTGAGGGAGCGGCTGCAGGGACCCCTCGCTTCCCACGGGCTGCCACCGGCTGAGAAAGAGCCTGCCGGAGGCTTGGGGCCCTGAGGACACCTCAGCGCGTCCCGCTGCCCCGCTCAGCCCGCGGGAACACTCCGAGGCGTGGCCGGAGCCCGGGCGGAGCTGAGGAGCCCCGGACCCTTCAGAGAGCGCAGGAGCCGCCGGGGGGCGGGGGCGCCGCCAGCCCCGCCCCCCTGGTGACGCGCCGCGAGCTGAGGCCCACGTGACGCGCGCAGCCAATGGGCGGGCAGGGTCTG